TACACTAGTGACTCAATATGATTTCCTTTCCTGGACATCTTAGAAAGATACATGACTTACTTTCTGTCCAGGTTGGTTTAGATGGTAGAAAAAGTAGAACGGATGAATCTCAAGGCCTTTTCCAGTTTTATATTCCCACACAAGCATTCTTCCCACTGGCAAACCCCTGTTCACCCCCCGCACCCAAGCAGAGCTTCCCTGTGAAGCTTTCTCCACACTTAAGGTGGAATCAGGGAACTTTTTCCTCTGCATGCTCCAAAGATCTTAAATTTATGTTTACTAGAAGCACTCACTTCAAATGCAAGTGTTTGTTCTTGACTATGGCTCTCTGTGCTTACTCAGCCTTGTATTCTCACGACTTATCACCATGCCTGGCATGGACTATATCACAATAAATATCTTGTGGATGAATAACTAAAGGTTGACTCCATGAATCTGAAGAAGCACTGATTCCTACAGATAAATTATAATAGCTTGGTCGTGGTGGTTCTGTTTCAAACCAGGATTTGTTTTTATACACTTTATATACATCCATCCTAGTTCTCTGAGCATTTTGTCTGTAGCCTCCTAAGATCACTACATCTGGTTGTCGACATACAAAGGAACCTCCTCTCATTAGCGGTCACACTAAATCCAGCATAACACAAATGAGGTGGCTCTTACAACTCTTCTATTCACAAATGAGGAACCACTGTCATTTCCAGCATTTGCTGTGATTTCTATACAAAGTTGCCTGGCCCGGTGGGGAAAGTTAGGCTTTCAACTGTTCATTCTCTGGCATCTCTATTCTACTCAAAGCGTTCCTCAGTATCATTCCAATTTTAGTATATGTGCTGCCGAAGCAAGCACCAAAGTGTTCCTCCAAAACAAGGGAAGATTTTTTTTTAAATTTGAGAAAAAAAAACAATCCTCATCTATTTTGCTTGGAGAGCTTGATCCAGCAAATACTTAAAAAATGAATTTCAGGGTGGGATGTAGCTAGGCAATGTTATAACAAATGTAATAGAGTATGTCCTTTTCCCCTAAAAAAAAAAAAAAAGTCAATTTGTCATGTTTAAGGAATCTTTCTGAACTACCAGTGAGTCACTTTATGTGCCCTACTGCAGAATAATATTCAATCCTAGAAATACTCTATCCCTTAAAAAATTTTTTCCTTTTAATTTTAGTAATTATAGGAGTATGACACCAAAACTGTATGTGAAACATTGAGAATAACAAAACCCAAACTTTATAAATATTAGAAAGTACAATACAGAAATCTACCAAATAAAGCAGGATTCTAGTTAGCTGTATTAAAAGATGAGGAAACTCCTTGCACAAAACACTTCCCATATAGTTCAATTGCTTATACAAATTATGTCAAGAATTCACACTTTTAAATATACTTCTGACCCTGAATAACTAAAGCAAGCCTTCCTCTGTCAGCCTCAGCCTGCCCCACTCCAGGAGGAAGAGCGGTGCAAGAACAAGCAAATCACTAAAATATCCATTTACTTATTCCCTCATAGCTCTCACCTTCCCTGACCCCCAATTCCAATATTTCAGTTAACTACCATCTACCTTAACTCTTCTCTTCCAGAACACAGGTCAGCAACCAAGGAGAAAGGTGCAGATAACAAGTGAACATTATTGCCATGCTACAATACTTCTTAGATTCAACTATTTTGTTAAGCTTTTACCTTCCCCAAACTTCCTATGAAGGCTTTTTTTTTTTTTTTACCTTCTACACAGATCAGCAACAAAGTGAACATATTCAAAATAAGTTGGCCCTCCTACTGCACAAAATAGCTCTTTCCCAGATTTCAGTCCCAAAGGATTTCAGCTCCTCTTTTTCTTAAATTGCTATTTATTCAACACAACACTTACTTGGCATGCATCTTAGGCTACCTTCCCCTTCGCTTCTCTCAATAACAGCCACGTCCTTGGAGGTGAAAGCTAGCTTGGGTCCTTCTGTACCCAGAGTGCCAGCACACGCTCAGAAGAAGCCCTATGGGTGACGGTAACGGGGATGGGAGCCATTCTTCTCCCATCTCTGGTTAGGAGACGGGACCCAGAACAGCCTCCTACTCAAAAACACTCAGACCATTTTTCAGTTCACATTATAACCTACTGTAGGGGGTATGAGGGTGTGGTAAACAAACAGGTTTTATCTCCTACGTAATTCTGATCAATTCAGCACCAGCTGCCTATCGCGCTGGGTTAAGAAAGATAATGAGACCACATCTGGACTGAGAGAGAGACTGTACTCTGATGGATTAGGGACGGCGGCCGCATGCGCAGGTGAGGCGCATGCGCAAGTGAGGAGCATGCGCTGTGTGTGCTCAGTGCGTGCCATCCTAGCTCCTATCACTGAGCGAAAATCTCAATTTCAGGACTTTCAAAAACTTCTTACTGCCTAAGTTCCTTTCCTAAATGAAGCATTAGACCAGGGATAGAGGATTCAAAGTCTTCCAGATATATATTTCTATGTATCCTTTTTGTTTGTTTATATGACTGTTTTTATTTTAAAATAATAAAAAGCCTTGATGTTCTCCATCATCCCGATCTCTAATTATAACTTAAAAAAAAGACAAAACCCAGAAAGAGTAGTTCAGTTAAAAAAAAAAAACAACAATCTGTGATACCTCTACTTGAAATCTTTTCCCTAAGCTACTGTTCTTTACTCTAAAACGATGGCAAATAATTTAAGTTAGTTAAATTTATTTTACTTAAGACAAAACCTGTTTTGGTGGTTATTAAAACAAAAATTTAATTTTTCCCAAAGCAAAAAAGAATTGATAATGCATTCTAATTAATTTCCTTAGCAAATGTGCAGTTTGATATAACATCTACGTATCCTTTTATATAAAAGTTTGGTGAAGAATACTCTTCCTGGTGAATCAGACTTAAAGGTCAACATGATGGACCCAGCGTTCCCTCCTCTTGCTGCTAGCTTTTCCACAAAAGCAAAAGCATCAAAGCTCTTCATTCCAGAAGCGACACCAGCCAGGATCACTTAAGGATCCCACGGAAGGTGCAGCCACTCACTTTCATTCTAGTAGATGCTGCATTCTTCTGTTTAAAAAGCTCTCTTTCCTCATCCTGTGCTCTCCCATATATCTGTACATCAAAGACAACCCCAAGATCAGGGGTAACAACATTGGGAGATTTGGTTTCTGACTTCTCTGAAATCATTTGATAAAACCTTGCAAAGGGCATTTCACAATGGTGAGAATACAAATTCAACAATCTCCCCCAACAGGAGCACAAAATGTCCTAGGGGCTCGACAAACTCAAAATAACAAATCAAACCCATTCTTCTTTTTGATTTATTCCTGGTCGTGTTCCCCTCAGCCAGAAAAATCCTTAATTTTTTTTTGTAATATAAAAGATCGAAGACTCCATTTCATAATTCTTATCTAAAGAAGCATTATTACAAAGCAAATCACATCGAGCGCAATCTCCACTTCTAGCTTTATAATCGAATTTATTTTATTTCTAAGGCAATCTTCATCAATTTGCACTTCTCTAATCAAATTCTATTGTTTAAAGAGGCAATTTTGCTTAATACTTGCTGTCCCCTCTGCATTACGGTAATGCGTATCCTTGCTCCCCCACCCCAACCTTCCCAAAGCATTTATGCCACTTATGAACTGCTCCATAGCTCTCCTCCTCCTTTCTCCCACTGAGAACAAACCACTTAGGCCAGGGTCATTCAAAAGTTCCCTCAAAATGTGTTCAATGGTTATAACGAAATAAAAAGTCTTTCCAAGATAAAAAAAAGTATGTTACAGAGTGAGAAAATAAGTAAAAATATGTTGCCTTTTCTCAAGAATTCAAGAAATATTCTTTGTTTAGTGAAAGGCCAGTTTGCCTTTTTAAGTTAACTTACAATCTTATAAAAGCTTCCCAAATCCCAAATATTGAAATCATTTAAATAATTACCTCAGGGAAGGAAAAAGGCACACACACATGGGCATTATATGACATAAGGAACAATAGAGCCTGGAACAGGAGCCTCGCTGAGCCAGAGTCTGGAAGGTCTCGGGGTTCTGAACCGGTTTACATTTCAATCCATCCCCCACAGTCTTTTCCTCCCTGACTGCTAACTCCAGGAGCCCTGGGACCAAAGGTGCAAACACAGCCAAGGAGAAGTCGGAGACAAACGCAGCTCACCTCAGACTGGCACCAAGAGTGAAATCCTATTGCCACTTTAAAAATCAACAGAGCCTCTAAAGCACGGTATTTTTGCAAAAAAAGAAAAAAATATATAAAGTGATGTGGTGCTGCCATTTATTGAAAGGCAGGCACTGTAGGATAGCATCAAGTGTCTTCTGGGCAAGTGTGCCCTGTTCAGTATGAAATGTTAAATTGAATAAAAATGGCGGAGGGAGAGTTCAAAAGTAGAAACCATGTCAAAAGTCTGAAGAAAATGGGATTTTTTTTCCCCCCAGCGAAAAGAGATCCGGGCTAACCTTTTTTTTTTTTTTTGATGGGATCCTACCCACTATAGGAGCACAACAAGATCATGGAGTGCAGAGAAAGCGAGGTTGAAAGAAGGAGCTCTCCAAACACATTTCGTCAAGTGCAGACCCAGAGTTTCAAAACTTCCTTTCTAGGAAACCGAACTTAAAATTATTTCTCTGTACTAACCAGATCATTGCCCACATGCCGTATCTCAAACTTCCAACCCCTTCATTTTTGCCACTGAGGCTCACTTGTCTTTAAGTAAAAACAAAACAAAACAAAAGAGCTACATATTTTTATTTAGCTCAACAAACTACTTAGGTCCATGGGCAGGGGACAGATCTCACAGGTACACAGCTGTGTTTCCTCATGGACTGAATACATATCATTGCCATGAATATATCCTTTACCCTGAAATGCGAATGAGCACCAAAAGTAATTTTTTTTTTTTTTTTTTACAAAAACGGGGCCTAAAAATCAATCCTTAGGCGGAATTCCTGAACAGTAACTAGCCCGTCGATGATGGACCTTGTTTAAAGCACCACACAACAATGTGTGTTTACATTACCCTTTTATTTCATAGTTAGAAATAATACAGTTCCACAGGGTAAATCATCAATAAATAACGGTGTTTTAATCATTAAACGTAAAAATCCCAACTCTTTGGCATCTGACAGGATTCTATTTCTTGTCAAACTAATGACTGTATAGATAGAGTTAATCTTAGTGATCATTCGTCAATACAATATGTTACAAAGGTGCAATTTACTTTAAAATATACAACAGCTGAAAATTTCCAGCCCACCAAGAAATCTGATCAACTCAGTAAGATATGGGTCAACTTCCCCAAGGTGTTTTCACATGGTTTGCCTCAGTGAAAGTATAATAAATGTTGATTAAGAGTTCCTAGGGTTTTCTTAATACTTATTCTGCTCTAAACAGAGTTTGCCATTCATTCTGGCTAAAGGAAAGTCCTCCCTGCACCAGGAATGACCCACTCATTAATAAAAGGTGTTCTTATTTTATAAGCAAGACTGCAAACACCTAAGAAACTCACAACCACCAAACTAAAATTTAAAATCAGCAGTTCTATGCTGCCAGAGATGCCAATTCAGTAATAAATTGCACCTTCAAGAGTCAAAAAAGAAAAAAAGAAACAGAAACTTTTACAAAAGGTTAAGGTACATACATTTTTCTCAAAATATATTCAAGAATAGTTGAGCTGTATTTGTTACTAAAGCCAGGGCGTTACTCCTTTAGCAACAAATTAAACCAGTGCAATTGACATAAACTGTTAGGTAATCCAGGATTAACCCATTAAAACCGTAGAAGCACTTTAGGCTCCTACACTAATCCTAGAAACTGGAATTTCAACGAGCGCTTGAGTTGCACAGAACTAAAACTGGAATGACCTGATGCCATGCTGAATGGTATCACTTCATACTTAGTTTAAGCATTCGGTAGTAGAAATCATGAGTCCTTCTATTAAAGTTTCATTCACTTACAGAACATTCAGATGCAAACAGTATTATGCCTATCATCCACAATTAAAAGAATCCTTTCCATTTTAAAGTTCCAGATGAATTTTTAACTTAGAAAGTAAGCACTAAGGAAACTTTTTTTAACTTATGAAAACTTCATATTGGAAACTTTCTGGAAAAGCTTCCCCCCACCCATTGTAAAATAAATACTTTGTATCCCAAATTTAATTGTATTAAGACACACTTTAATAATGCTATAAAGAAATATTGTACAGCCATAGAGATCAATAACTTTCCATGCGGAAATAAAAAAATCCATTGCTCAATAGTATTATTGAGGCAAGTGAAGAAAGATTATTCTCTTGTCAATCTGAAATGTTAATTTTTTCAGTGCAAAACCAGTTATAAAATATTTAAACTCAATATTTAAAAATAAAAAGTGGTCCAATTCAGCAATGTTCAAGTTTCAAATTTCATAAAACAAATCATTGTACATACATTTTATAGTAAAATACAGAGATTAAAGAAGTACTTGAGTACTTAAAGATATAAATTTCTAATGAATCATACCAAGTCAGCAACAACCAAGCAGATAACATTCCCAGTTTGAGTGTCGGAATCATAAAGACGGCGTGACTGTACCAAAGCCTTTTCTCCCTAGCTAAAAAGCCATACAAACTAATGGCCAACATTCTGTTTTCTTTGCAGTTGCGTGCTCTAGAATGATTTCCCCCCAAGTACCTGTGATTTCATTTCTGTATTCAAATTTGATCCAAACAATTTTTATGTGCCAGGAACACTTAGCTGATATAACCATCTATAATGTGAAGAGTCCTGTACAGAGAACGACAGTGGGTTTTTCCGGCCAAGCGGAGGCTGACCTAAACTGGTTTACACTCTCTGCACGTCACTCATGTATTATTCCTGGCAAACACACGGTCCCCTCTGAGGGTGAGGTGTTGAAGCTGGTACTGGAGCACTTCTGTGTCAGCTGGCTCCTTGATGTTCATTTTATCTAGATTGAGGTAGTCCAGAGATTTGGAGTGAGCCCTCTTACCTTTAAGAAGACAAAGAGGCAGAGGCCCATGGAGGGCCTTGTAAGGTTCGTAGGGTAAAGATTTAGTGCACTTGTCTCCTGAGCTGGGCATCCGCCTTCGCCTCCTGCCATTGACAGCCGGGATCTCGTATGGCTGGTAGTACCGACTTCTGGTTTTATACAAACGGGAGGAACGCGCAAGTCCTGCGTCCAGCTGCTTGGAGCGCAAGGAAGGCACAGCTTCTCCCTTACTCTCTTCACCTCCCGTGCACTTCTGGGCTAACTTCAGGAGTTCCTCACCAGTTGTGAAGCCAACCAAATAGTTAGAGTCCATGTGGAGAATCTGGTAGCCCGACACAGTCCGGCGCATGGGCGAGCACGGCGTGCTGGAGCAGCGGGGCTTCTCTGCTTCCGCCTTGCCCGGGGAGCTCGCCTCGGCCACAGGCAAGGGCAGCGTGGCCAGGGTACTTCTGGACTCTCCGTTAACATCGACTTCCATTTTAGGCACCAGGCGGCACACTCCTGAAAGTAAACAGACTCAGATTGTAACGGCATCGTGCACAGAACTGTGGGCCAAGCTGCAGCAGTTGAGATGGCTCAGAGAGCATGAAATAACACCGTCCTGAGAAACAGCCACTGTCCACCGGCCAGATGTTTATCTGTGTCTACAGAGCATTCCAGAGCAGGTATTAAAATGACTACGACTTCTCTACCTTCATGAACTCGAAGGCAGGTTAAATTAGAGTCTGGAGGACGACTAAAAGGTTCACATGAAGAGGGAAACAGAAAACACTACTTCTCTAAATGAGGCACTCTGTTCCATCACACAAATTTTATTCCTTGATGTGGTAGTAAGCAAATCAAATACAGATCTCAACATGAGGCAAATAAAAATATCCTACACAGTGCCACAAGAATCCGCCAGAGACACCCAGCTTGAAAATTTACATCTTTACATTTTCCATCATTTAATTTAAAATAAGCGCTTAGCTCTTCACACCTACAATTTTTTTTTCAATTGCATTTAAGGGGTATATAATGAAAGATGAGAATGGATCGATTTCTGCAAAGGTTCCAAACAGGCCTAAAAAAATGCTTTTAAGGTATGGAGGAGTCAGTCTTAAGGGAAAGTTCCCCAAATGTTGCAAATGTTCTTCCTCCCATGTCCCCAGTGAATTATTTACAGCAAACCATTTCGTAGTTTAAAAATAAACCCTAAATCCAATAAATCAGGTCATTTTTAATATTGAACACATATAAAATATCAGATGCACTTTGACTAATCAGAAAATATGCCATTGATTTGCAAGTTATTTTATCTCGCAATACCTAAGACACTGCACTTCTGAATAGTCTAATAAATAGCAGAACAATTCTCAATGAATGCTGATATCATTCATCACGATGATGACACTACATAGTTTGGAAAACCCCACTGACAAGAAGTACCAGAAAAAATAGCCAGGTTTCTAGGAAGCTGCAGATAAGTCAAATTTTGGAAAATAAAAAAATACTAAGGGAAAGTGAGTGACAGTGTCATTTCAGAGAAACTATTTCTACTTGATCATTAGCGAGGAGTAGAAAACACAATTTTAAGTACCTCAGGTTGCTAACCAAAATGATGTCAAATAGTAACTAATTTTAAGATGAAAAATTTATTAGAAAAAACTTACATTAAATGATTCTTATAAATCCTTTTGTAAAACAAATAACCTTTTCCTGGTTGAAGCATTTCCCAAAGTTTGGGTATTCATTTAAAATCCAAGCAATTCTAAAGCTTAAAAAAAAGAACCTTATTTCCCTCACTTGCATGCTATACTTTCCTTCATTAGGAAATAAACCAAGACTATGAAGAAGTCCCCAGATACCACCTTGTCCTCACTACAGTTCACATCTAGAGCACAACTGAAAACTAACATTGAGTCCTGAGATAGAGCAAATGCCAAAGGGATCCACAGAGCTTTATTTATTTCTTGCTCTAAATCTTAGTCTATGTAGTTCCAAATTTAATTTAATCAAAATACTGTAGCCCCTCAACCCTTCCAGATTTAAGGTAATTGGCTTTATTCTATATTATTAATGTAAAAATAAATTTATATTTGATTGTGTGATTTATTTCTCTGTTAAGAGGACAGGATAGTGGGGGACTATCAGCTACTCTGATAAGCATACAGAAACCTGAAGATTTCTTATCTAATAAACTTTAGAGGGCCCGAGCTTCATCAAACCTTATGCTGAATAAACAAATATTTCCTCTAACCCAAATAACACACCAATCTAATAGTTCCTTTCTCACTAATTCTAGATCCCCAGAAGGAGCATAGGAGGGCAGATCCAAGGCCTCCAACCTACCTAACCTGAGAGACAGCGACGGGCAGCAAGTGTGTGCCTGATAGTCCATTCTGAAAGACAAGGAGAGGGGGATCAGTGAGGCTCAAATAACCAGGGCTGTGGAGGAAATGGAGCACACACACAGATGGGTACCCCACACAAGAATGACCCAGGTGATGACACTCAAGCACTCAGTCCACATTAGGTAACACGCTGGTCTAGGTCTCTTCCAAATCTGGGAATCCATGACAGTCCACAGACCACTACCAGCCACCTTCCTGTGTTCTCATTTGGTGCATTATAAACTTGCCCAAATCCATGCATCCACACTCCATCCACCTGGATTTGGGTAATAATTCCAACAGAGGCTAGGCTGAAAGTCATCTTCTGTGCCTCTGAGGGATAAAAATTGCTAAGCAAGGGAAGAGCATACAAAATCACAATAAAGAAGAGCAGGCACAGGCTTCTGTGGTCAACAGGACCATCAGCAGTTTGCTCCTATCCTAAGCCTGTTCTGCTGCATCAAGGGAGACCATCAGGAATTCTCAGAATCTCTAGCGGCGGAGGATAAAGGATGTCAGGATGCAAAGGTTTGAGAGAAAAAGGCAGAAAGTATCTATTATCTAGAAAATAAGCACCCAGAAAATGAGAAAACTGAAGACAGTGAGTGAAGTGATCTATAAAGGTCACAACTGGATGGGACATGAAACAGCTAGGAGAACAATACTAAGAGATGAGTAACCACCATGGCTTCAGTTTCCAGCAGCCATAACACCATAAAAACCAGCATGTGGGTTGGCCAAAACTACCTAACAGGATCTTCAGGCATCTTCCTGACAGACAATGATTTCACCTTGATTGTCAAACAAAAGAAACCAATGTGGTCTAAGAGCTCTGGAAATTCCAACCGAGCAGCGTGGTGTTAAGAAACCTACCATATTTTGCTGAGGTAAACAACACACCCCCTGTTCAAAGACACCACTTAACCAGCAAGTTAAAGAAACAAGCACTTCCAATACACTCTAACAAGTATGTGGCCTAGGAACTAAGGTCAACACTCTACGTCCAATTTCTGAATTACAGTCTCACGGTACTGGAACGTAAAAACGCTTGTCTTAAATATTACATATGTAGCTGCAACCTACTGCACTTCGGATAAACAACTGTAAATTCTGGAAAATTGCTTGCACGTTTTAGCTACAAAAACATCAGTACTTCTGCTCCAAATAGTAAGACAGTCTCAAAACTAACAGCTCTGTGAGGTGGTTTCAACTGGTTTCTTCAGTGTCGAATGTATGAGAACATCTTCAGATCTTGATATTCGGGTAGGAACGTCAAGGGTGCGGCAACCTGACTCTTATAAACTTAGATTTTTTTAAAATTTTTTACTTATATATTGCCCTTCTAAAGAGCGCCTAGTAGTGTGCACCACTGAGAAAGCTAGGTGGTGGCCGCCACTCAGAAAAGAACACAGATTGGCAAATATTTTGTTTTTAGCTAGGTGGAATGCTGACTAAGCAGTATGCCCTCCACTCTTCAATGTGACCAAAAGCAAACTTCTTCTGCTATTAAATTCCTGAGAATTTCCTGACTGGATTTAATACTGGAGCAAGACTCTGAGAGCAGTGACAGGATCAACTTCCTCAGGTGACCTCTTAAATGAGCGGAAGTAGTATAGGAACACATCTAAAGAAGTCAAGCTACTTTCTAATTCTGTAATCTAGCAAAAAAGAAAACAGTGACGCTAGAGATGGAGGTACAGTATTTCACACACCAAAATTTCTTACTAAAAGCTCTAGATCAGGGACGCATGGGTGGCTCAGTTAAGTGACTCTTGATTTTGGCTAAGGTCATGATCTCAGGGTCATGGGATCGAGCCCCGTGTCGGGCTCCATGCTGGGCGTGGCATCTGCTTTAAGATTCTCTCCCCCTCTGCCCTCAACAGCCCCCCAACCCCACTCACTCGCTCTCTCTCTAAAGAAATAAATAAATAAAAAATAAATAAAAGCACTGATCAGGAAACATGGCTACCATGACTACAACTGGAGATGGCCTGTGCCTGGCAGAATATTCTTTATATTTTACCATGAAAAATCTGCTTATAGGTTTATTATTCTTTTTTTTTTTTTAAGATTTATTTATTTGACAGAAAGAGAGCGAGAGAGGGAACACAAGCAGGGGGAGTGGGAAAGGGAGAAGCAGGCTTCCCGCTGAGCAGGGAGCCTGACGTGGGGCTCGGTCCCAGGACCCTGGGATCATGACCCAAGCCAAAGACAGACGCTTAACGACTGAGCCACCCAGGCACCCTATAGGTTTATTATTCTTAACAAACCATTCGTGACAAAGCATTTTGTTTCCTATCCTAAAATAAACCGTGCCTCATAAATGCATACTGCCAAGAAAAAAGATTACAAAGAACTCTTACAAATACCACAGGTATGTGCAACAGGCACCCACTCCCACCGCATCAATAAGAATAAACATGAACCGGGAAACTAGGCACGATGCTAACTTCTGCACTGCTAAACGCTAGAAATCACAGAGCAACGACATTCTTATTGGTTCCATTAATGCTTTTCATATGTAGTTTAAAGCAAAAATAAAAACCGGAAACAGAAAACAGAGAAAGTATTGTTATTATAATAACAGAAGCAGCAACACTTCCTTTGATAGAAGAGTCTAGAACAAAAAATACAAAAGAGAATAGAAAAGTCAACTTGTAGTTGACTAATACTTTTAAAACCGAGTTTCCTAAACAAGTTCCAGGAACATATATAATTCTTTGTAATGGCACCTAAGGGTCTTCACTATCAAATTCCTTCACAATCGAATCTGTAACAAAGGTACTGACATAGACTTACAAAACATGAAAGACCTGACAGTATTCATAGGGGCCACCATATTTTTTTGAAGTATGGGAGGATTCAAAACTCAAGAAGACTATAGACAAGGTAACACCTCAATATCTGCTAGAAAAATGTACACAGCGTATATTTTAAAAACATGGGGTACAGCATGCAATTATGAATTCTGGCTGCAACTAAGGCCAACAGGTCCAAACTACAACACACGTGTAGGGGACCCTGGTACACCGAGATGAGCACACTCAAAAGACCATCACCTGGGTAAAATCTGCTCAGTTCTGAACACTCCCCGAGAGGTCAAACCTCCCAAGCATTTGGCACAAGGAGCATTTAAAAGATATAACCAAGGTGCCTCAGCTCCTCAGACCAGCTCTGAAAATAGCTGAGAAGTTTCACAACTGCCTTACAAAGAATTCTTTTTGAGAAGGACTGCATTCTGGGAATTTTTTTTTTTAATCAGGCTTATCGAAAAAAAAAGTCACCATCAGTAATCAAAAAAATTGCTCCATATGCTTGAACTGTTTTTAGTAACACACAGCAATTCCATTTAAGAGAAAACATATATAACTGTCTAAATATACAGAACAAAAATGTCACCATGTGAACAAAATCCTTTTCAAGAAATGATCCATTTGGAATAAAGCCAGCTCTTGGCAAATGGAGTCTCCCAAGCTTGACTACTGTCAGTCTAGTAATATCTAGAACCACCTAGTTTCAATGCCAGCATCATCTTGGATTTCACCTCTGCAGACCTTCTGACTGTGAAGAAGAGGGCACTGAAGCCATGAAGGCAGGGGCTTGCCCAGGGCGGGGCAGGCAGTCCTGGGTTTCCTGACGCCCGCCACTTCATCATGCTGTGCTTGGGGCACACGGCTCCTCAACTTAGTATACAGGCGAACAGCATCCAAGGAGCTTCAAAAACTATGGAGGCCTGTGCTCTACCCCAGGTCTGTGGTTTAAGTCATCTGGGGCACAGCCTAGGCTGAAATTTTCAAAAGATCTCCAGGAGATTCTACTCTGCAGACATGTCTGGGAACTTGTCAGACAGAACTTATCAGATAAAAGAATTTCACTCCTCTAAGTCCCTGCTTTTTGTTTTGTTTTGTTTTAGATCAGTGAGTACTGTCCCATTAGTGGATACCTTTTTGGCTGCTTCAAATTGCTAACAACCTATCCCTAACACCTTCTAACTTACTGTTTCTAATCCATTGTGGGCTTAAAAAGTATGTACTAATCAGACTTGTTAAAACTGGATATAAAATAAAAATAAATCTGTGCTGACTGAGAATCAGGCCCCTTCCTCTGCACACACTTTGCTACAGTTACTTTAACTTCTTTGAAGCCTGTGCCAGGTAAAGCCCTTTGAAAAACAGTTTGGCAATTACTTACACAGTTAAATAAATGTTTATTAAACAACCCACTTACCCTACTGGAAGGTATTTACCTCGGAAAAATGAACATGTATGTTCACACAAAGACCTGAACATGAATGTTTTTAACAGTTTTATTCACAATCACCAAAACCTGGAAACAATCCAAATGTCCATCAACAGGGAAATGGAGCAAGAGACCGTGCTCCATCCATACAATGGAATACCATCCAGCAACAGAAAGGAGCAAACGAGGATTACAAGAAAGAAAGCAGCAGATAGAAAATGCTACATATGTGTGATTCTATTTATAGGACATTCTGGAAAACTAATGGGACAGTAATCAATCAATGACTGCAAAAGGTCAGGGTTGGGAGGAGGGGAAAAAACTACAAAGGGGCACAGGGAATCTTGGGGGGTGACTAAAATGGTCTAAAATGGTCTATATATTGACTGTAATGGGCATTCCACAGCTGAATACATTTTTCAAAACTCATCAAACTATACAAAAGGGTGATTTTTACTATATACAAATTATACTTCAATTTGAAGTCTGACTTTAAAAATAAAAAAAAATAAAATTAAAATAAGCCTGTCACATACTTCCAAGTTTTTGACCATCCTCCTAATTTTAAAATTCTTCAAATTATCTAATCTCAGAATCAGAAGGAATCCTAATGGTTGTTCAGTCTATGTTTGAACACCTCCAATGACAGGTAACTCACTACCTCTCGAGTTGGTTCATTTCACCTTTGTAGCTGTTCTAGACTGGCCCTGTATTTACGTATATAACTATTTATCCATAATTATGTATACACACCCACATATACACATATGCATCTGAAGAGAAAGATACACACAGACGCACACACACATTCCTGTAACTTCCCCTCACTGCTCCTAGTTTTGTGCTTTCTTTAAATTAGATGAGTTACTGACTCAGCCATATTATTTCTTACTCAATATCCTCTAAAAGTATTTTGTACTTAGAGTTTTTAAACGTCTTGCTTTTTTCCTCAAAACTGAAAATTTAGTAATGTTTCCATTTTCTCAATGTTTTAAAATGCATTGTCATAAATCTAGTATGCTGTATCTACCTAATGAAACCAGAAAACCTGGTTTTCCCCATCATTCATTTGAATCATTCTGCTGCTGACTGCTAATTTGGAGATCACTTATTATGAAACCAGAAGTTTTTCCAGAATTTTTTTTCCCAAGGATTTTCCCCCCAAGGATTCTGACCACCCTAATTCAAAGCAAGGACTTACAAGGACACTGCTCAAGTAGAATGAGATACCAAAGCACCAAGTCACACTAATGTACTTTTTCAAATGCTAAAAAGCTACAAAGATAATTATCAATTTTTTTTCACCTTCAAACACATGGAGTCACATGGATAACTGTGTTAGCATAGATACAACAGAAAACACACTGAAAAAAGACAAGGAAAAAACAACAGCACCGCATCATTTTAACAAGTTTAAATTCACGGTGTAATAAAAGTGAACTGCTATACAACCAAGTGAAACTGATGCTCCTTTCAGTCACCCGTTGGCCATTCTTTATGTATGATAACATACAACTAGAACTTTGTGCAAATTATTTTGCCAATCTCTAGGGATTAATGTTTTACTAAAATTTCCCTGAAATTAGAGCAACTACCTCTTAACTACTCTATCCTGAAATATTATTCCATAAAACCTCCTTTATCTCACAGGAATAAGGAAAAACCCCAATCAGTAAGGCAAACACTTCCAAGGTAATAATGTTAGCAATCTGCAACAATAATTTCAGTTCCCATCATTAAAAATTTCGCTACTGTAGTATACATGTTTGCAATAATATCTTGACATTTCACATTCATTGTTTATGTAGTCCTTAAAACACATGATGATATCATGTTCATACAACGGGTTAACAGAGAGATAAAGCAAAATATAACTCACCAGACTAAATCCCAGATGTCACTGTGCAATGTCCAATGAGTCCCAAGGGAACACAGGCATAATATTTTTTCTGCTCTACTCCAGATACTAAACATGGAATATAAAAATAAACCTTTAATTTAACAAGTAACACAACTTATAAAGCAATTATAACAATTCTAACTGCAACACAGGATGAAACTAGTAGGAGGTACAGGTTATAGAGAATATGATATTAATTCATTTAATTAAAGCAATTTGACTTTGTTCAGCTAAATGAAACTTCAAACATTTTGTCATGTTTGTTCCTCTGTATTCTGTTGCTGAAATTCTACCTCGAGACTAAGAGCAGCTAACTGGACTAAATAAAGAGACACACAAATTTGGGGGTTTAAATGTTGGTTTCACCAACCTAGTCGTCTTCATGTACTCAAGACATTCACAATATTCTATGAAAAAAATAACGATGAGGCCAGGATCAAAAGAACAGGTCCTAGCTATGGCCTTGCTAAGAACTCTGACTCCTGACCTTGCATAAAGAGCAATATTTAAAATGAGGACCGTATCGTTCTTCCTCCCTCATACAGTTGTCATGTGGATCAAGTGAGATGAGGCAGGGGAACGTGTTCTGCGCATTGTAAAGCCCTTTAGAGATGTGTGATGTTATTATTATGCAATTAATTTTTGGTGTCTACTCATCTTAGCCATAAAATAGCAACAATAAAAATCCTTCGTAAGACTGCTCTGAGGCAAATGACTGGAAAGGCCTCGGAAAACACTTTTTTTTTTTTTTTTTAAGAGAACAACACTTCTTTAGAGTTATCACATTGCTTAAGGTTTCGAGCATCTCCTCTAGGCTTTCCCCTTACCTGGGGAGGTAATGTGTGAGAATCTATCTTTTATCTCCTACCTTCCTTGTTAATTTCTAGAGGTCAAGAAAACTCCCCAAAGTCCCATTCACCTGTAAAGATTTCTTTGCTGGTTGGGTTTCTGTGGCCGTGCTTAACCGGGGGCCAGGGAGCCTCAAGTGAGCTGAGTGGATTCATCTCACCAGCACAGGTGCACAGGGCCCCCAAGAGTGGCTACAGAGAAAACACGCCCTCACAGCCAGTGCGAACAGCAAGGGAGAAGGCAAGGACTCTGTCACTTTATTACTTTCCTTACCACTGCTGAAGAGTTTCATCCAAAGGAAATGGATAGTTACTGAGTTAAAGGGATCTGCCTCTTGAACTTCAGAAACTGGAAGGAGTGAATGCACCAAGACCTGTCTGTCATCCTGGGAAGCTCCCACAGGTATCAGCCTTTGGAACTTCCACAGATTTAGGAAACAGACACGCGATGCTCCCTTGCGCTGCTTCTGCCACACACTGGGTCCAGGCTGGGGAACCAAGACACTACAGAAGGAAGACTCGGTTCTCCTCCACCAGTGAAGCCTCTGGTTTTTACATCGAGTGAACTGTAACACAGCAAAAACTCTTGCCCGACAATACGTTTTTTATTTAATGTAAGCACCCCTCAAAATGTCCCCAATACTACTGTTACAAAGTTTAAGTTGATTTCTTATTCAAGTAAATGGATTTTTAATGGGGAAGGGAAATTTAAGAAGAAACTCATATTTCTGAGCACCTTCCGTATGCCAAAGCTACGCGCCATTTCTATCGCTTCATCTTAACCACTACTCCATGAGGAGGTATCACCCCCCTTGTAAAGTATTCCATCAAGCAATGCTATTTGAGAGTCAGGCGGGAACTTGAACCCCAATTTGTCTGACTCCCAAGCCCACTGGCTTTGCTTTATATACATGTGGCCCGGATGGACAGCTTTTTACACAATAACCATGTTCCTGAAAAATGTAAATTAATTTCTGTAAATGGAATTCTATTTCAAATGTGTGGGGAGGCACTTTATTTTAAAGCTTTATTGCCTCACTTGTGAAATGATTAGAAGGAGGTGGTTTTAGCTACTAGTTCTAGTGTTATTTCCAACTTGAAAATGTGAGGATGTTAAAGCACATACCAGAGTCCTGTACAAAGTCAGTCTACATCATGGACCCTTTCTCCTAGGAGCATATAAGATACTTGAAAATCATAAATTATAAGGGAGGACAAAAACGTTATCAACCAATAACTAGCTGGTTATATGGTTGGATGCCAAATAGAGAGAGATATTTCCACTTCATTTTTCCGGGCTACCTCTATCATGGAGTGAGATAAATTTCATTTAGACTTTTAGAAATCTAGACAGAAAACCCAGGAGCAGGAACGTTAGAAAAATCTGGATGTGTTTTAATTCTAAATAAAAACTAGTTTTAGAAAACACTGTAAAATTTCATTCAAGCTATAATGTAATGTGTATTATGTATTTGGTGATGTGAGCTTCTTTTCAAGCTTTTGAATGCATTGAAAAAATAGATTTTCCAACATTTTTTTCAAGAGCAAAAGAAAAATCAACCCCAAACTTCATTCTGGATTTGAAAACAGAGAGCCTTAAAGTAATTATCCAACTCTTGCCCAGGAGCTGATGTGGAAGTCTAAGAAATGGTCAGTAATTTCATAGCAAACAAAGTGCAGTAACTGATTATCCCTATTACAGCAGTGCCAAGCCAAAAATAGAATACAAACACAGAGTCTAAGAGAGCCACCCAGGCGAAACCAAGGTGCAGCAGCTCCATTCCCTGTCTCAGTTTTTAGTCATTTCTGACTCTGCTTACTGTTGTGTGTGTCACCACCTGCTAACTGTGGATAGGGGCTAAGAAGAGGATAAAGATGATGAAAAAGAGGAAGAATTAAAAGAACGAGACCAGAGAGTAGTAGTAGTGTAAGAATGTATCTTCTTGAAGAGATCGCCTATAAAGGAATCTAGCTTAAAAAAAAAAGAAGAAGAAAAATTACAGTATGGGCTTTACGCCATGTCCTGCTAGAAACAATTAAGATTTTAATATGAAAGTTCCCAAAGAACTGGATTTTTAATAAAAAGAAACCAATACTTTTGAACACCTTCTCTATGCCAAAAGCTACATTTTATCGCTACTTCATGGGGAAAATATTACCCCCATTTTAAAGTATTCAACCAAGTAATAACTATTTGAGAGTCAGAACAAGAATCTGAATGCCTACCAGCTGACTCCAAAGCCCACAGACACTGGCAGAATAGGGATGATGAGTTAATGTATTTTGTTTACTATGAAAGTACCAAGCATTTCCTAAATTTCCACTTTGGCTCCAGGGCAAGAGTAGACAATCACTTTAAGGTTCCCCTGCTTTCAAATCTAGAATAAAGTTTTAGATTGAAATAGCATTTTTAGGGGCGCCTGGGTGGCTCAGTCGTTAAGCGTCTGCTTTCGGCTCAGGTCATGATCCTGGGGTCCTGGGACTGAGCCCCGCATCGGGCTCCCTGCTCAGCGGGAAGCCTGCTTCTCCCTCTCCCACTCCCCCTGCTTGTGTTCCCTCTCTCGCTGTGTCTCTCTCTGTCAAATAAATAAAATCTTTTTAAAAAAATGTTTAGAAATAGCATTTTTAGAATATTTTAAAAATCTATAAATCTCTAACACCTGCAGCTGATTCTGGCCAATGTTTTTACCATGAAGGCTTGGCAAGATATCAACGGATCTCCTCGCAAAGACAGTCAGCAAGAAGGAAAAGAACTCATGTGAAATGCTTACAAGATAGACTAAATGCTGTGTAGAAAAACGGACTGAGGTAAAAAGAGCAGAGGCTAGAATACATAATGCTTCCAGCTACAAACAGCTGAAACGAACAGAAAACCCCGTGACATTATCCTGGAAGCAATTAAAATAGGAAAAAGTCAGCATGGCCAAGGTCTTCCCGCAGGCCTCGGGATAGGAAAGCCATGAGTGACTAAGCAAAAGACACCCAACGTTTGACTGCAAATGAAGCTACGGCAAATAGGAAAGTTTGCAAACATTAACCAGGAAGTGTGTCAAATATCTCAGGCAGGGTGATAGATATCAAAACAGGTAAATAAAGAAGAATGTCCTGCAAAAGTAGGGTGGCCACATGTCTCAGTTCACAGCCAGTAATGCGGCATAATTATTTATAGCACCCCCTCTATCTCTCCAAAGTGTCCCAGTTTGGCAATTACATTGTTATCCTACTCAAAAGTAATATTTAACAATGAAAAGGTAATGAATTAAAAGACTGGGGGTGGGGAGGGGAGGAAGGAAAAAAGACCCTTCTGCTTGCACAGTGGCTTCCCATTCAGATCTGAGGGGTATTTCTGTGGTTGTATCCACTCAGCCACTCAATTATTCATTTATTCCTTCTGTCCTTCAACAATATTTCTTGAGTCTTATTATATCCCAGCATTGTACAGGTACTGAGACAGATACAAAAAGTGAAGCCGGAGACCAGGCGAAAAGGAAAGACAGACAGACATGGAAATCTAAGGCATAGAACAGTAAACCTGAATGGTACTGGGAACCCAGAGAAGGGAGTGTTTTTTTCCCCCAAATACAGAAAGCTCCACACGAAATGTTCAGGCCCACACAAAATCCCTATGTACAAAAAACCCATAAGTATCAGACTTCAGCACAGATCTACTAACAAAATAGCAATAAGAAAAAAAAATTAACGGACAGAGAACTAGGGTTGACAGAGGGAGGGGGTGGGGGATGGGCTAGATGACTGATGGGTATTGAGGAAGACATTGGTTATGATGAGCACTGGGTGTTGTATGTAAGTGATTAATTACTAAATTCTACTGCTGAAACCAATATTACACTATATGCTAACTAACTAGAATTTAAATAAAAATTTGGAAGAAAAAAATAAAAAATAAAAAAAATTAGGGGCGCCTGGATGGCTCAGTCAATTAAGGGTCTGTCTCTTAATTTCAGCTGAGGTACTGATCTCAGGGTTGTGGGTTCAAGCCCTGTGTTGGGCTCCACCGTGAAACCTACTTTAAAAAGTTTTGTTTTGTTTTTTAAAGAAAAAAATTAAAATCTATCACTTCCAAATCATATGGTTATAAATATGAAGGCCAGCAAATAGCCCTTGTGAATTTCGGTAAATAGAGCCCACTAATCATTAAAGAGTATATTATGGAAAACAAGATAAATTTTAGGCAAAGAAAAATGGTGGAAGTTATGGATTCTAATTCTAGATCCCAAAACACAAAGAAAAAAAAAGGAAACAGGCAGTATTTCTCAGAGGAGCTATTTGAGGAGAGATCAATAATTTAAAAAAAGATTTTTAAAAGTTGCATTCAGATTAATGAAAATATTTTGCGACCACTAGTCTCAAAGATTACTCTAAAAACAAAAAAGATAAGGACCAAAACATCTCTCAAGTAACAGAACGCTGAGCAGAAATAAAATGGCTTAACTGCTAGTACAACACACACAATAAGAACAAAATGCTTAGCTATACCTACCCTACATGCTCCTCGTAGGGATTACTTCAATCTCACCTTTCCATTTGTAACTCATAAAAACTAAATCATCAATAATTTTTAAGAAGAGTTGTTGAGTAGTGTGTGACATTTCTGAAACCATCCTTGATCTTACAAACCTCACCAAGGGGGTAAGACAACCCATAATCAGTTCAGTAAGACAAAAAAAATGTGTTTCTCTTCCTAGTATCAGTTCTTTTAATAGCAACCCCCTGAAAGTGCAGCATGCATTTTCCCTCTATTTCTGTTAATAGAAATTAAAGCTAGATTACCAGTGTTGTCTCACTATTATGTAAAGTCACCCTTCTACTTTTAGAAAAAAAATTGCTTTCACTACAAATATGACTGACAGTAACTGGAACTGCAGATCTACATGCAGTCTTTACAAGAAATTTGCCTCTTAGGAAAGCGTAACCGAAATGGGACAGGTGCATACGGTGGAATTAGCTAAACTTCCACATGAAAGCTTAAATCCAGGAACTTATTTTGATAGGCTGGTGATGAATCCAGAGTTCTCTCTGGAGGAAAAGAGCTGATTGTTTTTTCCCCAGAGGATATAAATAAATCAGCAACAGCAAAGCAAATTTCAACTCTGTATGTAAAGTTTTGTTACTCCTATCACACTAAATACTTTTAAGGGTGTACAAGAGCTCTCCAAAGGATACAAAATTATACAAAGTAAACAAATTCGCTATTATGCAAGGTCAATAAATACCCTCTATATCTTATGTCCTAGAATACTCACTATTAAACAGTCTCACTTGCAATTTACTAAAATGTTGACAGAAGCAAATTGTATACACCGTTCCTATCAAATCAAAAGGTCTACAGGTTCATCAATCCTAATATTTCATCCTGGTCATTTTATTAAGTTTATAATGCATACATAGCTACAACACAGAAACACTGAAATCTGTGAAACATTCATTAAACATAATTGTGTAAGCATAAATCATGGTCTTGAGTTAATAAAGTACCAAATGCTTCTGCAATAATAACCAATACTGTATTTTGAAATCATTGAGAAAATAAACTTTGGGAAGTGATCACTTCTATCTCCCTTAGTGTGTAACTTCCTCTAACAACTCACAACTCTAAATTGTAAGGTGGTTCATCTGAGAAAAACAATGTAAAATAAAGAGTTCTAATAACGTCAGAAATGTTGTGCAAGAATTGCTCTCTCGCCTAGGAGTAGTGAGCATGCAATAAAATGCTACTGCCTCCATTCTTCCTCAAATGATTAGAAAGTTCCCAGCCCCAGTTTTACCTGTGCACCACAACCACACGGATACCCTATCAGCATCTTGGCTCGACACAGACCACTAACCTACCCGGGTACAATGTGATGTGGGCGGAGAAGCAGGAAGACCCTAAGGATGTGGAACATTTGCAAGGGGAAAAGGACGGGGCCATCATTCCCTTCACGTTCCCATCGCCTCGCAGGCCGATTTGCAGATTCCACCACTAGAGAGTTTGGCAGCTTCACAATGGGGCCGCCTGCACAACGCCCGCCTGGAAACCCCTTTCCTCTGCTTACCATCCGCCCCAAAGTCCACCCGCGACAGGTGGGGAGAGGGCGGAGATGCCCAACGACAAATCTGCCGCTTTCGCTTCTGGCCAGCACCCGACCCCAATCTACACGCGCTCCCCCAGGCACTGCCGGTCCGTCCGCCCCCGCCGCACCGGCAGAAACGCAGCGGGCGCGGGCTGCGGGCTCGAGGGCGGCCTCACCCCCCCGGATTGCAGCTCGGGCGACGAGGGCCGACGAGATAAGGCCGTCAGGGCTCGCCCCTAGGCGCTATCTGGCAGTCGCACCCAGCGCGGCCGGGGCGCGCGGCCAGAACCGCCGCAAGCCCGGGAAAGAGCTACTTCTCAATGGGGCCCCGAGACCAGCTGCCCCGCGGTGCGGGCACGCCGGCGGAGGAATTAGCGTGCGCGCCAACGCGCCCCGACTTCCGCACCGCCGCACCGCGGGAGAGGCGCTCCGGCTCGCCGAGTCCCCGCACCTCCCCGGCGAGCGCACGCCGCGCGCACACGGGGGCGCACGCCCCCGCACACTCACACGCGCCGCACACTCACGGCGTCTCCGGCCCCACCCCTGTGCCAAGCAGCCGCGGGCTCCCCGCACCCCGCAAAGGCCCCACCCAGTTCACCAGACCCCAGCCTCCTGCCCGGGCGCCCAAGGACCAGCCCGCCGAGGCCCGGGGCCCCTGGGGCCGACCCGCCGCCCATCCCGGAGGCCCGCCCGCCCAGGGTTCCCCAGCACCGCGCAGACACGCGCGCCCGGCCCCGACACGAGGCAGGGAGGAAGGGGCGGTGCCGCGACTGGGGCTGGCACCGGGGCTCGGTGACTGGGGCACCCCCCCAACCCACCCGCCCATCACCACCACCACCACCTTTTTCTGCAGCACAAAAGGTTGCAGGCGGAACCGCCGTCCCCGTGCAACCTACCGGTGGCCCACGGCTCCGCCACCTCCGCTGTGCCTGGGCCACGGAGCCGGAGACAAGGGCGGGAGAGGCGCAGGGCTGCGGCGTCGAGATCTGGGCAGAGGCCGCCAGGCGAGCCAGCCGGGTACCCTCCTCTCCCACCGCGCTCGGCGCCAGCTACCGCCCGGCGTAGGCCCCGCCTCCTCCTCCCCCGCCCGCCTTCCCAACCTCCTCCCTCTAGCTGCGGAGGCGCCGCCCGTCAGCGCTGGGCCCGCCTCCTGCGCCCAGCTCCGACACCCCGAGCAAGGGCGGGCGGGCGAGAGAAAGGCTTTAAGAGGCCTGAAGTAGTTGGCGGGGGCGGGGGCGGGGGAGTTGAGGCCTGGGGAGGAGAGGAGGAGTCGTGACACCTCCTCCCAGTCCCAACCGGCACTCTGCCTCGGGAGCTCCGACTCGCAGGCCCGGCTACGCTCAGGTTTCCTCCGGGTTAGGGGCTGTGGTGTGATGTTTATCATTTGTGAGTCTCTACTTAAAGGACTCTGCACTGAGCCGAAGTAGAGAAGACCGGAAGCCCATGAAATTACAAATTATAGGGTCAATCTTGAAAATTGCGGGGTGAGGTGCATTCAGATTTAGATTCTGATTGGATTCGCTGTTTTTGAATCCTCAGACTTGATCTTTTCCATTCTTGTAAGAAATTCTTTTCTTTGATCAGACTTTTCCATTCTCAATTCGTGTGCATCTCCTCTGCCAAACAAGTTAATAAACTCGGCGATAAGAATATGACATTTGCTTAGCTCTCACCATGTGCCAAGCCTTGTCCCATGCATTTCCAAATTTACACCTCTCACTTCTGTAAGGATGTGACCAATTATGATCCACATTTTAAAGATTTGGAAAGTTTAACTTCCTCGAGGTCACACACCTAGTTAGTGCCTGAGCTGAGTCTGAATCCAAAGAGTGGAACTACAAAATGGTTTATAAATGTTGCTAATTTATGTTGCAGTCTCAATCCAAGAGAGTTTGTTGTTACTGTTGTTTCTTCTTCTTTTTTTAACAAAATACTTTATCTGAACATAAAAGGCATAAATTTTGGTGTAAATTAATACAAATTTAAATAAATATTGATTCAAACATTTCAAAATCTACATATGCCTCTGATAATATAAAGGCAAATAAATCTGAACACCCGTATTTCAATAGAGTGATGCCTGCCGGCTTCTGCACTAGAAGACGTTTTATATCACCTCTATGTGCCCTGAAGTAAGTACGGGAGGATAGATGGAGAAGAGGGAGAAGGACACTTCGAAGAACATTCTCTAAACAATTTTAGAAAACATAAATTACTTTATTTCCAACGTAGATATGTATGTAACTTCTCAGATATAGAACCGGGCACAATATACTATGTATTGAATAAATAAATGAATGGATTTTTTGTTTGCATCAATTATTTCAGATTATAATTTGTTTGACACAACAGTGAACTGGAAGTTATTTCAGATTGTTGACACAGTGGTGCTTTGTCCTGATAATCATTCTCATAAAACCACTTCCCAAATAGTGTATATTTTATATTAGGAAGCTTCCTTTTATTCTGTCCTGTCTGAAATCTTATACCCTTTCAGAAGAATGACTTGTACTTGCCCTTTGCTCTGAAAGTTTGGCAATGTTCTTTGGCCAAAAGCAATAAAGTGCTGGTTTGCCCTTAGCTTTATTAGGCTCTAGGCTAGCCATCTTGAAAGGGCTTTGTCTCCAAATTGCCTTACTCTATGGGTGGTGCTTCCATCCTACCCTTAACTCCTCACCCCATCAAAATTTCAGTCAGTTTTTGAGTATCACAAAAAAACGCCTACATATTAAGCCAGTTCATGAGGCAGTTAATGACTGATAATAACTTTATGTGTGGCCCCTCAGTACCCTGAGTGGGTACTGCCTTAATTTGGATCTGTTGTGGCTTAGTAGGGGCTGTGGCTGAGGGGAGGTGGGGAATGCAGAAGCTCTTCCCAGATCTCTTTTGTGTTCTATGAAGATCTAGTCAATCTATAAAAAAAAAATGCCATGCTTATAAACAATAGGGACAAATGTAGAAAAGACCTTGTGATCTGAAAGGCCTGATTTTGAGGAGTCCAACACTCCATCTCAAAGATCTCTTGTGTGAGTTACATCTTTGCTTCAAGCCACCCTTCCCAGAAAAAATCACTTGAAAATGATGGTTGCCCGAGAAGGCTTGTATATGAATGTAACAGTGCCACTTAGCAAACAGCCAGCTTGAGAGAACAAGATAGGTAGATTTGATGATAATAACATAGTGGATATAAACTACAAAGCCAAGTGTGTAAGAAATACCACGTTGCAGCCCATGCTCTAAACCCATTTGTTTCCATCAGGGGCTAACCAGGAAAATAGAGACCACTTCAAGTCTTTACAAACAGACAACTCAGGGCAAGGAAACAATAACACAGAGAATGGAAGAACTCAGAAGCTAAGCAGGGGTTGGTGAGGTAATCCAGAAATTAACAAGCATGGCCCCTAGCTGGAGAAGTAAAGGGAGGAGACAGAGGTACTGGAGCCCAGGGGCCTGGCAGTATGGCCAACCTGGAAGCTGCGGCCATGGAAGAGAAACAGCTACTGTCAAAGAAGTCATTTGTGGCAAGGGAAGGGGGGAAAATGTACCATAGATTTTCCTCTCCTCGTGCCCTCTCATCTCCTGCCAGTGCCTGACATTCAGCCAAACCTAGATCACAGCCATCCTGAGAACCTGGGAAACAGCCTTTGGGGTTAGCCCTTCTGCAACACAGAGGCAAATAGGGGAAGGGCACAGAACGTGCATCTGAGGGCAGACAGGCCCTGAATCAGCACATCTTTTTATTTCACTTTCAAGACTTCAGTTTTCCTTAAAGTTTTTCCCCCACTCCCTTCTAGGGTCAAAGTTCCAAGAGTTCCATGCCATTGCTGTGTGTAGGTGGTGATGACAGGGAGTGGGAGGAAGTCCTTTGGTTTATATGCATCTGTCCACAGAGGTTTCTAGTGTCCCTTCCCAGAGCTACCACCTACAGCAACATGCTGCAGTGTACAACATGTCCATAGATGGGATGGCTCTGTTCTACACACTTGAACACTCCCTTTAGCTCTCTCCTGCTCCAGCACCACACTTGGAGCCAGAGAATATTTCTAAGCTCTCAGACTGTTCTGTTAAGCCTCATACATTATCAGTCATTTGTATTCAGGGTCCTTTATCAAATATATGATATAGGCAGGTTGAAAGTTTAAGAATGAAAAAAGAGATATATCTTGCACACATTGTTGAAAACAAAGCAGGAGTGGCTCCATTAATATTAGATAAAGTAGACTTCAGATCAAAGAAAATGGAAAGACAGAAGGGAGCATTTTCACATACCCAAAAGACTAATGTACAATGCACCAAATAGGAGAGCTGCAATTTATGTAAAACAGAAGCTGTTGGAACTGTACAGAGAAATAGGCAAACATACAATTATAGTTGAAGACTTCAATACCCCTCTATTAAGAACTGTTAGAACAATGAGACAATAAACCAGCAAGGATCAAGAACATCATCAACCAATAGGATGTTATTGACATCTATGTCCACCCATAAACAGAAGAATGCACAATCTTTTCAAATGCCCATGGAATGCCAAGAAGGAAAATATCCTGGTTCATAAATCAAATCTGAACAAATTGAAAACAATTGAAATCATACAGAGCATCTTCTCCAATAAAATCAAATTAGAAATCAGTAACAGAAAACCAGGAAATTCCCAACCACTTGGTACAAAACAACAAACCCCTGCATAATCCATGAATCAAAGAGGAACTCTTCAGGGAAATTTTTAAAAATACATTTATTTAACAGAATGAAAATGAAAATATAACATTTCGAAACATGTGAGACACAGGTAAAGCAGTACGGAAAGGGACATCTGTAGCACTAAAATGTGTACATTAGAGGAAAATCTCAGATTAATAATCTAATCTCCTATCTTAAGAATCTAAAAAAAGAGAGAGCAAAATAAACCCAAAGCAAGCAGAAGAGAAGAAATAATAAAGATCAGAACAGAAACCAATGGAATTGAAACAGAAAAATGGTAAAGAAAATGAATGAAATGGAAAGCTGACTCCTTGAAAGGATCAGTAAAATTCACAAACCTCTAGCAAAGCTAAGAAAAAAAGAGAAAACCCAAATGATCAAAATCAGGAACAAAACAGAGGATGTCACTATAGATGCTGCAGATATTAAAAGGACAATAAGAACATACTATAAACAACTCTATACTCATAAATTTGACAGCTTAAATGAAATGGACCAATTCCTTGAAAAATACAAGCTACCACAATTCACCCAATATGAAGTAGATAATACGAACAGCCATGTAACTATTAAAGAAATTAATTCATAATTTTAAAACTTTCAAAAAAGCAATATTTGGGTCTAGAGAACTCCTGAAAAACTCTATCATACATTTAAAGAATTAATATCAACTCTGCAGTCCCTCCCAGAAAATAGGAGTGAACACTTCCCAATTCATTTTATGAAGCTAATAGTACTTTGATACCAAAACCAGAAAAAGGCACTATTTAAAAAGAAATCTATAGACAAATATCCCTCGTGAATACAACTGTAAAAAAACTCAACAAAATATTAGCAAATAAAAATCAGCACTATATAAAAAGAAGTATACACTATGACTGAGTTTATTCCAGGGATGATAGGCTGGTTTGATATTCAAAAATCAGTATTATCCACATAGTAATAGACTCAAGGAGAAAACTCACATGATCTCTAAGCACTGGGCAAAAGACAAAATTGTTTGTTCTCACCACTCATATTCAAGTCGTACTGGAATTTCTAGCCAATACAATAAGGCAAGAAAAGGCAAACAGACTTGAATGGAAGAAATAAAACTACCCCTATTTACAGATGACCTGATTTTATGTAGAAAATCCCAAAACATCTACAAACAAAAACAAGCAAACAAGTTCCTAGGATTACGTAGTGAGTTCAGCAAGGCCTCAAGATACACATAAAAAAATCTGTATTTACCTATAACGAATATATGGAAACCAAAACTAAAAATATGGCATCATTTACAATCACTCAAAAAAAGAGAAATACTTAGGTTTAAATCTAACCAATGAAATATAGGATGACAAAATGTTGAT